ATGATTTGGTACAAAAGTGCCAGTTTGTCAATGTATGTGAGAAAAATTATTGAAATGTTTCAAAACAATGTTCCTCAAAGAAAGATAGAAAGGAATTTGGATATGTCAGCCTCTACAGAACATAATTAAAAGATTCAAGGGATCTTAAAGGAGGAATTTAAGTGCATAAAGGCCAAGGGCACAAGCCTAAGCTGGATGGCCATGTCTCAAACGGCACTGCATCAAGAATTGTCATTCTTCTATAAGCGATATAACCACATGGGCTCAGGATTACTTTGGTACAAGCAGTATAATACCAAGTTGCATCCATAAATGCCACTTAAAACTGTACTGTGCCAAAAGGAAGCCCTATGTCAATAGTATCCAACTGCAGTCGACTGCTCTGGGATGGACCATCACACGGTGGAAGTGTACTGTGATCAGGCAAATCAGTATTTCAGGTCTTTTTTTTTGGAAGGAATAGCCATTGTGTGCTCTGGACCAAAAACGAAAAGGACCATCCAGACTGTTACCAGCAACAAGTCCAAGAGCCAGGGTCTGTCATGGTCTGGGGTTGTCAATGCCCTTGCAAAGGTAAATTACACTTCTGTGATGGCTCCACTCATGCTGAAAAATACATAGAGATTGTGGAGCAACACATGATACCTTCAAGACGACATCTTTTCCAGGGACACTCATGCATATTTGAACAAGACAATGCAAAACCTCATACTGCACATTACCAAGCCCTGGCTGTGGAGGAGAAGGGTACGAGTGCTGGACTGGCCACAGGAAGAATGGGACAAAATTCCACCTGACACACTTAATCAAATGGCGTCCTCAGTCCCTAAACATCTTTTAAATGTTGTGAAGAGAAACGGCAACATCACACTGTGGTAAATGCTTTAGTGTCCAAACTTTTGGGGGGGGAATGTGTTGCAGGCATCAGGATTGAAGTGTGCTTATTTTGAACAAAGAATAAAATTGATGAGGTATCACATCGTACATATTGTCCCAACCTTTTCTATTTTGGAGTTGTATTTAGAAACAAAAGTTTCTGTTATATGATATATAGCCTACCCTTTATTCTACAGGAGATATAAATTTGATTGCAAATTGAATCAAACAGGATTCACTTTCTCATTACTGATTCTGAAAATTGTTAAAAAATGCCCTATTTCTCAGTGATGTCAGGGAGTAAACAGTGGCGGGTGGTGGGGGTTAGCCAATTACATTGCAGCTATGTTGCTGTATTAATTGTCACTTTTCAAGCAAAAATACCAAACATTCTCTGGTTCCTGCTTCACAAATGTGAAGAATTACTGCTTTTCTTTAACATGTATGATAAATATCTTCTGGTTTTTGGAGAAACAACAATTTAATGACATTTGATAGAGTAAATGATACATTTATTAATCAAGAAAATAATCTTCAGGTTAAACAAATGAAAGTAATCCCTATATGCTTTAGTTACTGTATCTCTCCTAGTTTTTTTTTTGCTTGCAGTTGTAGGCTATGCAAATAAAATCACCTTAGGCACACAGTCTAACAAATTGAAGCACAAAATGTTTTTATCATATATTCAAAAAACAGACTACAGATGTAACAGCAGATTGAAGATATACATTTATATGGACTGAACAGGGAAAAAGTAAACAGTAAAACACTCAATAAAATGTCATTTCATTTTCATCACAAGCAATCTAAACAATATTGCAGGCCTATAGAGGGTACAGCAAAAGGCCAGAGAGGCAACTTGGCTTCATTCATTAATTACTCAAGTTGATTCATGTGCTGGGCTCAGAACCCAATTTCTCAGGAAGGAGACAAAACAGGTTCAACACTTGTGGGGGAAAAAAGACTGAAACTAGCTTTACAACCATATCTTCAGTGGTGGGTTATATGTATTAGGCTGTTTGTTTTTATCCTATATATTACAGTTTAAGGGTTTCTCCTTTAAATGGATATTTAAAATTGCAGGCTTCTGAATGGCATATCTTTTGTTTGTTGCCAATTACCAAATACAGTATAAATTAAATCTAATGTTTATCTAATAATAAAATGGAAAATAACTTTCCAACACAAACAGTCATAGTGCATACTATATACGAATACACAGCATTGTTTCTGATTTACTGACTATAAATAAATTAATGCAACAGCTGCTGTTAAACATATCTACAATAAAAGGCTTTACTGTAACTCAGCTGTTCAAAATCACGGCTCTTTTCTATGTGATCATCTTTGTTTTCAAAAGTGAAAAAATATTTGATAGTTACTGTGAGATGTGAATATTTACAACAACAAAGATTTCCATTCTATTAATACCCAATTTACAGTCACATTAAAACAGTAAAACTGAGTAATATTGGGAGTTTTACTGGTAATGATGAGCATATATAAATTCTGTGGTAGAGGGTTATGCAAGGCAAGAATTCAGTGTGGTGTGTACCTGTTTGTTTTATGCTGTTCCATGTCTATATGGGTCCATACACAAGACATAGATGGGTGACAAATTAAACGAACATTCTGAATAAATAAGTGGACATTAAAAATTAAGTTTTCACTAAAAGTGTGACGATACTTGGCTCACGAGACAAGACTATACACAATATTGGGTTTGCGAGAATGAGACAAGATATTTTAAAACTATTTTTAAGAAATCTAAAATGACAAGAAATAGTCTAATTCGACTGAGTCACAAAATGCAAAACAATGCTGGTGCATTTTAAAATGTTTAAATCATCTTGTAATGAATCCCACTTCAGTTTTACTTTGAGTATGATTATCATACGCAGTAAAAGACAGAACAATATGCAAGCATTGTAAAAGGTTTGACCACAAACTCAACTGGCTAGCTTCTGGTCTGTATGATTTCACGAGTCTCTTCAGACCTTACTATGCATGAATTATGCTTGAGCTTCTAACAACTAATTAAAGCTGTATGACCTATGCTATTTTCACCCTCACTGCACGATGGCATCATCGGAAAAGGTGCTACGTTAACCAGTCACGTACCGCAGAAGACGTGGAAGGCTGTTTTGTTTACCTTGTTAGCATAAGCATTCAATGCTATTCACTGTGGAATTTAGGCCACAGGTAATGTACCATAACGAAATGGAGTGCATTGTCGTTAGTACTGGATTTTAAACAGTGGTTTTATCTATCACTGCCGACACACTAGTGATGGAATTGGTGCTAAGGTAGTGTAAGCTACGTTAGCAGCATGGCTAACCAAAACACAACAGAAGCTTACGGGCTAGAAACGTGATTGAAGGCAAAGACGTCGACTCGTCAAAATGTGGCCGTATCACGCCACAATACTCCCCCTGCAACTCGTCACCCACGACCAATGCAGTCCCGTTCGTTAGAACACAGCGAGCTGCGTTTTTCCAGACTAATGTTAATGCTCTGTTTCTGTTCCCGTATATGCTGATATCGCGAGATATCTTTTGACTCTACGAGAATTACCGCCGTTTTAATATCGAGAGATCTCGTGGCACGAAATCTCGTCGCACTCTATAATCTCCGTTATTTTCTTGATCCTCTGATCTTTCGTTTTATTCACAGAATGTCAGAGGAGTTAAAGGTGGTGTCTTCAATTATCTTATTTTGGCTGACCAACAAATCCAAACAGTTCATTCTTTATTATGTCAGAATAGCTGCTGGTTGATTTTCTACTGATGAATTTACTAATGGCTGCAGCTCTAGGTTACTGATAGGCTCAATGAGTATGAAAAAGTGTCCTGAAATGTCTTGTAAGAATGATGTTTCCTCACTTTAACAGAGGTGCACTGAAGTTGCCCTGGAGACACTTCACTAAAAAAAAATCTATGTTGTTCAATTTGTGGTAGTTTTTCCTTTAATTTGTCACCCACCTGTATGTATACAGCCACACAGGTATGTTCTGGTTTGGGGCCCGACTATAAGAAATAACTGAGAAAACCTACTATCCTGTTTCACAGTGATGTCAGGCAGTAAACAAGTGCACTGCATTTTGGGATTTATTAGGGGACCCGCCACAAGTTGACATCAGTAAGACCGAACTTGGTATAGAGTACAATGTCAAGGGCACTTTTCTGCACACACACAATTTCAAGAACAGTGATGTGCACTGCCTTATCTGGTAGCTCAATTGCAGGGGTTTTAGTGTTTCAAGTTCAGAGTCCAAGAAGCATTTTATTACAAGGCCAGTAAAGTTAGAGATGTGAAGCATTAGTGTATATGTTAGTGTAGCTCCTGCTGACTTAAATCTTAATGATTATGCTAGTAAATGATGTAGCATTATCACTGTCATAGTGAAATCCCTTAAATACAATCTTCACATTGTTTTCTTACTATTGTCGTTTTGCTGGCGAGCCCCCTAAAAAAAATCCCAGAATGCAACACACTGTTTCGTTCTTGATGTCATTGTGAAATAGGGAAACTAGGTTACACAACAATGATCAACTTGAGAAGGTAACCATAGTCACTGTATTTTCTTTGTGGTGGTGTAACACTACCTGAATCATCAGGTGGCTGAGGCTGAGCCTGTCTTAGTCAGGCTCACTAAGCAGGACTACAAAACAACTCTTGATGCATGTGTCTGTTCAGAGCAGCGTTCTGACCTAGCTTTCATGCTTTTCCAGCTATGTAGGTAAGCAGAAGCTGTACAACCATTCACTTAACTAGCTAATTCACCTACCTGGTATTGATGTATAATCTGAATTCTTGACAGATTTAATGAAAATTAAGTGCTGTTTTCCACGGCCTACATAAGGTCAGCCTGGCAGCACAACACATGAGCAGGTGCACACAGCACAGCATCTTGGCTTCAAACACATCACTCTGCCACATATGAGCATTTGAAAGATCCATTTAAGGGGAAACAAAATCACAGCTTCAAGGCAACAGCCAAAAATCAGTAACTGTTCAAGTGCTTTATAACAGTACACTGAGTGTAACAAACCCTGCAGCATTAGAAAAGTATTTGCTTGGTCACAACAAATGGGAATCATAAAGGCAAATGATGGCTGTCACCTACTGTAAATAACAGCTTGTGCTTACTTGTTTTAGATTAAAATAAATTCATCCATTACACAATCTTAAAGAAACCTCCACAGTGAAAAACAAAAATAGAATTTCATGCTAAAACATGAAAGTATATATGTTTAGATGGCATGTAAAAGGCACGAGGCATACACAGTAATATGTCTGATTTTAAAAAAGTACATCACAGTCATTTGTACATTCAGTAACATTTCAGGTAATTACTCTTTCTGAATTATCAAATGAACAGCTTTACCATTAGAAGAATCGTGGTTTACAGGGTCCATCAGTCAAGAGTGCCTGGTTAATCTAGAATCAAACACAGTGCATTATTAACAGGGTTTCAGTTTATATAAATACAACTTAATTCACTTGCATGTAGGTAAACTACTTTATCATTCAGATAAAGCAGTGAGAGAAAGGAAAAGATGCTTTGTAGGTTTGTCTCACTGAGCTGTTATGGCAACAGGTGGAGGAATGACAAACTGACTGAATAAGGGTCCAAGAGAAATGTTAGGAGAGATATTGAGGGGCATAATGTGCAATCACTGCTGCAATCTAAATTTCATGCTCACCAACCTGGCACAAAGCAAGACTAACAAGTGTGTCTACTTCAAAAGCAGCAGGAACTGATATTTCCTTTCATAAAGCAGGTAAAATCCATATTTTCTATTAGCAATGGATGCTGAAAAAAACTCAGAGGCTTCATGAGTTCAGAACTCATGAAGCCTCTTGGATGAAAGGTGAAACGTCTTCGACCTAGAAATCTAGTCCAGTTGAGTTTTTTCAGCTTACTATGACCTGGATGACTGAGAATCTGCACAGATTAGCAATGGATCAAATGTAATATGAAAGGGGACACTCAAAACAAAGAACCCATAGTTCCTATTAGCTCTGTGGATTGCTTTTTGGATCTTTTAGATTACTGTTTTGGTTTTACAGTCTGTAGCTTTATTGTTTTAAGTTTATCAACATTCTTATCATATCCTTTTCAGCAGCAGCAGACAGGACTTGCGTAAACACAACACTAAATGTAAAATATCATTGCTCAACAACTGCTGGGGTGTAAATAAGAAACTATTAGCTAACTTCTTCATACTGACGTAAAAGGTTATGCTGTGTGTTAGTGTTTTCTTCCCAGCTTGTTTCTGCCACCACCTAAATAGCCCGAAAAACTGTTATTGCATTTAAAGTGACGTGTTTTCTGTTTAAACAGGATGTTGAGTAGGGAGTTGTGCAACACAGTAATAAATCATTGTTTGAGAAAATCAGGAAATTTACACATTTCTAAAAGATCTGTGATTTTGGAGGGCACCTTAAAAAAATTCTGTTTCCTGGAAGCTCAAGTCTTGTTATGTTCATTTCATGGAGTCTTTAACAGAAGTGTGCTACAAGAGATGTGAAAGCTCACTTTCTGCTGAGCCAAGATAAAGACGTTACTCACTGGAAAGCGGCTCCACCTGCAAGGCTGTGGACAAACCCAGTCCAGAGTTCTGTTTGGGTCGTGCCCCCAGCTCCCGCACATCCCTAGCTGGATTCTGGTTCTCATCCAGAGGTTTCTTCTCCTCCTCCACCTCTTCTGGGTCATAGTAGCCCCCTTCTTCTGCCACCATCTTCTCTACTCTCTCCATCAAGTGTCCTACCTGGGGATGCTCCCCAAATATGTAGTTATTTATGACAAAGTACCTTCTCTTACACTTTTCCAGTACCCACTGCAGCTCTTTACCTTCCCTGCGAATGTACCGCTCAAGTGAAATGGTTCTCAACACTTCTGCCCACGTGAAAATCACAATCGTATGCTTCCACACACGCTCGCCAAACAGGCTCACATGCTCCTCGAGGCGAGCACGGTCCACCTCTGTGAACATGCCAACAGGGATGACCAGCAGGAAGGCATGGGGACCTGGAGGGCAAAGTGATGCTCCTCTCACTAGCTCCTGTTTATAGGAGGGTGGTGTATCCTGGGCGGAGAACCAGCCTGGAGTATCCACCACAGTCACCTGACGCCCTTCCACCTCAGTCTGCCTCTTTACACAGAACTCGGCTGCTCGCTCCAAGCGAAACTCCTCTCGGCCTATGATAGTGTTTCCTGTCAGGCTTTTCCCTGGCCACCTCCAGCCCAGCACCACCAGACGAATCTCAGACAGGTGGCTGGTCTCCAGAGCCGCAGCATTTCCGGCCTCCTCTTCTGGTCCATGGGCATCTCTGGCTGTGGTCAATGAATATTTCAGTGTTGGGATAAGTTGCCTCAGCGTGTCAAACTGTTGTAACAATAGTTTCTAACTACAAATATTTTTGATTGATCTGCTGGATATTTTCTCAATTATTTGGTGTGAAGAAAATAGTAAATTCATTTTACAATGTCCTAAAGCCCATGTCTAAAATCCAGAGACATTGACTTTATTATTGCACAAATCTCAAACTAGTAAATATATAATTAAAGAAACTAAAATTGGAAAAGTTCGCCATTTTGCTTAATAAATGATTAATAATAAATTAATTCATCATTCAGTGTGTGACTTTGTGATGTACTTTTTGATGATGTTTTTCCATCATAAAATTCGTAGTTTCATCAGTACAACAGTATAGAAACTGCAACGAACGATAATATTTTTCTACTTACTACATGACATACTCGAAGGAAAGTATCTCTACACTACGGTGTTACTAGGTAACTAAGCTACCTAAAGAGCTGAGTACTTGATCCACCACTGCCAATAAATTAACCATAATATATTTGTATAATTAGCGTTAAATCGTAAAGCATGTGTAATAACAGTGTAAAAACAACTTAAATAGGCACTTAGTTTCTGTCATTCGTCACTACCAGTTAAACGTGTCACTGTCCGGTTTGGGTGTTCAACCCCGTAGCCTAGAAACACTCTGCTAACTTAGCGCTGATTTTACTAGCCATGGAAATGAGCTACACTTCTTTGATAACTCAAAAACTAACTATAGTGTTTAAAAGAAAAGAAAATATCTACCCCACCTGCCGTCTGAAGTGATCTGTCCGCCTCCATACTCTACTTTAATCGAGATATTTATCTGTTTCAGGTATAATATTTCTCTGGGTGGCTACTCTGCCGGAGATGGACTTCCTGCTCAAGAAACAACAAACTAATGGAACTATGACGCTGCTACTTCTGGTTATTTATTTCACAATAAAGGCCTGAAAACCGGATGCAAGATAACCGGATGCAAGATAAGTATACAATGGTTGTAAACACTGTCACAGTTAAACCACCCTAACAAAAAACGAACCAAAACCATTGACCTGCTCAAACATTTTAATTTTATAACAGAACAGCCATACCTCTTTGTATTTTCTTTTCTCACTTGTTTGGTTCTGTTATTCGTTTTCACTTTGTTATATTATGCCTACTTTTGTCCTGCTGTCCTCTAAATGCACAATATTATACATCTGTTGCAACAATTTATGCTGAAAAATCTTGTATTGATCTACATTGTTGTTTAATAAAAACACACAAAAAAAGTATACAATGGTAGTAAAGTTAATGATCAGGTGCAACTAAAAATATGTTTAGTGGAACTAAATATGTTTTCAAAATCAAATGAATTACAACATTTTGGACTTTGGCCCAAATTAAACCATAGCATCTTGTAAATTGGTGTGCAGCCACATTATTATAAATGAACTTTCAGCAGATATTAGGCAATGCCATGAGGGGAGTGTTTTTATTTTTGAACATTGAAAAGCATATTTACAATGTTAATGCAAAGTCTAAGCTTATTTACAGTGGTCTTACATACAATAAAGCATTCTGTTCTGTGTGTTAAACAACACAGTCCTGCATTAGCCTATTATAAGTAGAACATTCTGAATAGGCTAGGCAAACAAAAAACAAAAAGAAAAGCATATTTAAATTTACAGTCTGTGGATTCCTTCACTTAATCTTTTTAATTTCATAAATACAAGTGGCATTATATAGTTATGAGCCAAGAGATGAGATTTTAAAATAATGCAGTATTCCTCCCTTTGCCCAATAAAAACTCAACAATAATAAACAAAAAAAACCCCATCTTATATTAATGTAGCATTTTCAGTGAGTGCAAGTCTGCTTTAATGTACTTAAGTTGCCCACGATGCCAGCATACGCATGTCGTCATCATCTTCAACCCTTTTCTTTGTTGCTGTGAAAAGAAGGAAATAGTTAACAATTAATGCTAGAAAATTATAATGGAACATTTAGCAGAATTTCAGGCTGTAAATAATTAATGCTTATTCCCTCAATTAATTGATTAATAATTAATTTAAATATGTTTAGAGTGTGGCTTAAGAATATTTCTCTTCAACTAATAATTTTAAAATGTATGTAAAATAATGCATGGCCACCATAAGTTGTTCAAACTTGAAGGGACATCCTTAAAGTGCTGACTTTGTCTGAGGGTGCTGATTTTGTCAGTCAAGAACCCCAGAGGATTAACTTTTTATTATTTTTAATAAAAGCTGCAAATTTTCATCTTTAGGAAATTGAAACAAGTAAAACTTGAGTACTGGATAAATGATATTTAAAGGATAAGTGGCAGTTTAATTTGACAGTTTCACTTATCACTTTAGAAAAGAAAAACCTGTTCATGTTTTGTTAATAAAATTGTCCAAGTGGGTCATAGATTTTGAAATATGTGCAGTGATTTAAGTAACATTTTTTTCCTTGAACATATCAGGTTCCTGTAGCGTTGTACTCACTTGCGCGCTGACTTGGCCGTGTTGAAGGCAGTTTGGAGCTGGGCACACTGGGTAGTCCGCCCATACTTTTCATGCTATCCTCAAGCTCTTCCTTCTCTAGCTCTTCCAGCTCAGCCAGCAGCTCATCCTAATAACCACAAAGTAAACATGACATACAGAAATTATTCCTAATCGCTACTGAAAACCTGTGTTGTCGGAAAAGAAAATAGTTTCACAAAAATGCAGCGAGAAGGTAAATTCAGTGAAAGTTGGCTAACTAAGAAGTTAAAAGGCGTCAACCTCATCAAACATCTCGCCCATAGGTCTGGAGATGGCTTCACTGATCTCTTGAGCCACATCCTGCTGCTCTGTGATATCGTGCATCAGATCATCTATCTTGTCAATGTCCCTGAAAATGAGCAGAGAGAGAAAACATGGCAAACATTTGTAATAAACAGTACTACAATCTCAAGGTTACAATATTTCCTCACTTTAAGGAGCTCACCTGAAACAACGCCCTACAGTTATATTTTCATTAGTGGTTTTGTTCATATATAAAAAGCAGTTAACAGTGGAAACTTAACAGTAAATGGTATCAAATAATCACAGTACAGAAGAGGCAGGACAAACACAATATAAAAAGGAAAAAGAAGGATTGTCTAGTCTGTTAAAGATACTCTACCTAGTTTCTTTTCAGCCACTAGAAACTCACACCATAAGCCATTTCTAACGCTTTTTGCCACCCTGCATCTGAGCCAAATTTGAGTCCTTTGGCTGCTTTTAATGCTCTCCATCTCAATAAGCCAAACCGATGTCAGCACCTATTTTTGGTCCTTGTCCCATTCCCTCTGTGAATACTGAGGCCTGGCATTTACTGTTTCATACTTTTAGTTAACGAGACCTCCTCCATGGCTGGCTGTTTTCAAATGACTACTTGCAGTTCAACAATAACACTTCTTATAACCTTCCATTGTTGCAGGCAGGGCTAATTTATGGGGTAGTATAGCTGAGAGACACCACATCCTGGCCCATTTTCACTTGAGTTATAAGACAGTCTGTAACATCATGGTTAATGCACCTTTAATGTGTGAACAAACTTTCCTTCTCCTTTGTAATAATGTTAACATTTACCAGTCTGCCTTTCACACACTGTCAGCTGGGATAGGCTCCAGCCCCCTTTCAACCCAATTCAGGATGAGCAGTATAGATAATGAATGGATAGATAGATTTACAAGGCTTAGGTGTGCACCTAAAGTTTATTTAATTATTAATAAGGATAATGATTATGTCCCCTTTTCTTTTATTAATCACGTAGTGCAAATATGTATACTTTAAAATGATGCGTCTGGTCAAACTCCCACAGGTGTATAGCAAGATTTTTTTTTAAGGCCAAATTCAAAATTAAATAAGTGCTGTCACATATGCAAAGGGTCCCTATCAAAAATACTCTTAAGTATAGTAGAGGCAGTTTTAACACCATTTAGATATTTTATTATTGCATCTACCACCAGCTTCTTACATGTTCTCATGGACGTGCTTCATGGCCTTAGCAGCATAGCCCATGTTCTTTAGGACCTCTGTGTTGGTGTGCGAGTTCTCCAGCGCTTCTCTCTGAAACTCAATGGTGGAGAGTGTGCCATCGATCTGGGTGAGCTGCTGCTCCAATCGCTTCTTCCTCTTCAAGGCTTGCAAAGCAGCTGAGTTTAAAGAAAAAAAAAAGATTGTGTAAGTCACAGGTCACTCCTCAATGAGTCTTTCCTCACACCTTTATTCTGGTTTTACTCTATTAGTTTTGGTGCTGTGGATTCACAAACAAAAGACACAAGGTTCCTCCCATTAGATGGTGAGGTTTATTTTTAGTCTTAAGTGGTTCAACAAGAAATGTACACACTCAGGATTTCAGATGAAAAAACACACTTTACACTGAGTAGTACAGTAGATTTATTGCAGAGAGAGAAGCTTTAAGTTTTAATATACTGCAGTCCTTTTGTTTTTAGGTGTGTCACCCAACTTGTTACACTTGCTGCTGCAGTAAGAACTAAATCACTGTAGGCCAGTAGTTTAATAGGGACGTTGGTCTTGCTGCATCTGAAATTGTTTAAATGTCTTTAAATACTTACTTCAGTATGTGCAAGAATTTTTTGAAATTTGCCTTAAAATGACTAACATACTCACATTTAAACCCTAGTGTACAATAACAAAAAGAAATGTCGGAATACTCTCATGTCCTTGACTCAGGTAAACAAGTGAGCAGGTTTTTTGAAGATAACAGTAACATACCTCGCTTGTTTTTCGTGCCGTTCTTCTTGGCTATCATTATTTCTTGCTCTATTCTCTTCTCCAGGTACTCTTGTTTCTTCGTCAGCATTTCCTCTGTTTCCCTGAGTTTGTGGATGGCCTCCTGGGGTGTAGGTCCTCCCTTTGACCTGTGATGTTTGGAGCTCGATGAACTGGAGCCAGAGCTCCCCTTGAATAACTTGGAGATTTTGCTCATTTTGGCAGTTTTTGGAGTAAACAGTGAAGGCAAGTAAACACAACCTATCTGGATAGCTGTACTTCCTGCTTCACTCTGAACTTTACAGGCGGGCGTGTTGAGCAGATTTTCCAGCTCGACGGCTTTATTCTTTCAGTTTAAACTAGCCAGCGAATGCACCTTTCACCACACCTTGCACCAGAATGACGTATTGACACCTGATGCCCTCCCTCCCCTTTCCACCATGAGATCCCTTCCCGCCCCACTTCCCTACTTTTCAAATTATAGGCTGTTAGGTATTTTTAGTCAGATAGATATTGGTTAGATACTTTATGTATTAGAAATGTTTAGTGGAGATAGGATGTCTAGTTAGACTGTTAAATGCTTAGGCATGCTTATGAGTTTCTACAGGGTACATCTGGTCAAGGATAACTAGAGAGAAGAGTTGATGACTGTCAGCAGACAGGGTGTTTAATATTATTATTATGACGTGTATAACTGTAGCCTTAGCCATAATATTTTCTTATGTTTAATGTCATGACATGTCACTAGAGGTCGTGTGAGAATGTTTTTAGCTACACACCACTTAATCAACAGACACACACACATTGATTTGCTTCATGTTTTGACTACTGCTATGGCCAGCTGCAAAGCTGGCACCAGAGACGTCTCGGTTGACGTTTCTGGGTAGTATGGGGCTAGCCCAACCGAGGGGATATAATGTATAGGCCTGATTTGGTTCGGGGTCTTTCATCTTCCATCTGCTGCGTGCAGTTTGGACATATGTTGGCTGTTGTATGTTTAAAATAAAATAATTATAAAACAATACATGAGGCAAAGCAAATGTCATCACAAAAATGAATAATAAACAGATTTTAAACAAGTCGGTGAAATCTGTTTTTTTTTTTTTTTTTTTTTTAAA